AAGATTAAAATTAGTCATAATCCTGAGGGAACAAATTTGAAGACACCGTATAAGGTATTTTTTCCGCCTTCTTAACATGCCTTCGTAGTGTAGTGGTCAGCCCGCTCGACGCGTACTCGAGAGGTCCGTGGTTCAAGTCCCGGCGAGGGCACTGCTAATTTTTCATCTCTCCTGCTTTGAAATAACCTAATGTCTCTACAGTGGCGCCGAAAGTAAAAAAGGTGGTGGGTGATGATTCTCCACCACCAGGATTTGGCGACTGGATCTCCTAATCCTCAGTTGCCTTTTAAAAGGATGAGTTTACAAGGTATTTCTCCCGCCTTCTTAGCATGTCTTCGTGATCAGCACCCTCGACGCGTATTCGAGAGGTCCGTAGTTTAAGTCTCGGAAAGGGCATTGCTCATTTTTCATCTCTCCTGCTTCGAAATAACTTAATATCTCTACAACCGTTTAGGTTCGATACCGGCTTATGATCAAAACCAGTTTTTTAGCTGTCGTGTTGACGTGTGCTGGCAGAGCTGTGCCCCATTTCAAGTCGCAATGAAGAAGAATATATTAGTTAGTTAACTATAAAAATATGATTAATATCAGTAGTTATAACTATCTTACATATCTCAGGTAAATGCAGATCCAATCAGTTATATGTGACTGATTAATGCAAAATAATATTTCATGGCTGTTGTGTTCATTATACATAAAATGTAGATAGATTCTAATTTGGTAAAAATTCTGAACTTTTAAATTAGCTAGGAGCTGTAAATTGGGGAAAGTAATTCATCACTGGCGATCTTTACTTCTAAACTCTTTAGCCGTTATCAGATTAAAAGCGTATGAGAATTAGCAGATGCTAAAGTTTTAGTAACTCTGAAAGTTCTGACAGTGATGCAAAAGCTTTATTTAAAGACTTTGTCACTTGCTTTGACGATGTTAACCTGATAACTAGTTGAGGCAACTAAAAATAAATTTTTTACTTAGTAAAGACTCGTATGCTTAAACTTTGTCACGCACAGCATATAGGATAGTACAAGTAAAATAAGTACTGAAAGTATTTTTATTTTCGCAGTTATCTACTCATGAAAATAATTTTTCCTTTTTGGAAGAATCATAAATTTCAACTTTAACGAATAAACAATTTAAACATTAAATCTCTTAAAATGTTTTTACAATTAATTGACGAAACATCTCTTAATTGAAAACTATTTAAACTTTGTGAAATTAACATTACTGGGCTGATGCGTAATATTAAGTGTAATATGATGTATCCTAGTAGTTAGTAGTCTTCGAAATAATGCAGTTTGATAATATGACATGCGATGGAAAATTAATTTCAGTGTCTCAGCGGTTTTTGAAGTGTTTTTTTTTTTCATTGCATATACTTAAAGTCAATATAACAGAATTTAAAATAATACTGTATTTAAAACAAATTAATAGATTCAAAATCTGATTTGTTTATAATCTTTTAAATGTACGTTTTCTCTTCTGTTAAAATATATCTAAGATGCCAAACATCGATTCTTTACAAAGGTAGGTTACAGTAAGATTTGCTATACATCACGGAAGTTTATTCCATTGCTGACAAGTCCGAAAACGCATACATTAAAGTTAAGGGAAAACAAATCACTGTTCGTTTATAAAAATCACTGGAACTTGAAATAGAGAAAAAAGAACGCCCGAGAATATATTAACGTTGCTTGACCAAAGAATTGCTATGAATATGGTTGTCTGAAGGACAGTGATGCGCATGGTCTAGGTGTTTGGCATATTCTAAAAATTTGGCGAATTCTACTAAGGTAGTTGAGATAACACGTAACTGCCGAATAGTATTTCAAAATTATCACTGAAACAGAAAGGAATGAAGGGGACATTTATGAACTCTTTCTTTAATTAATACTCTAGCTGTCGTATTAGACTTTTGTTCTCTGCACATTTGATTAATTATTTACATTTTCTTTGGTGATAGTGGTTTTAATATGTAAACTTTATTGCTGAGAAGTACTTACATATCCAAGTTGCTGTAGTTACAGATAACGGTGTTTCTTGAAAAGTTTCTTCGTAGACTTATTATTCGTTAAACATCAAATTAAGCGAAAAGCAGTTTAAAGAAAGACTACGCGGTGCTATCGCTACTCCTTTTAGTTAAATCACTTAAATATTAATTTGGTTTTCATATTTAAAGTTGTTTTGTCACAGTTAAGGAAATGAAAGCATTTTCGGTGCCTCCTAGACAAGTGCCTTTATTGGGTTATGTAGTTTCAAAGAACACAAAAGCTGGAAGATTGAGATGTGTTTAACGTCACAAGGCATCAACACAATGAGTAAGTGCTTAATATATATATATATATATATATATATATATATATATATATATATTTTAATTTGTGTTTATAATAAGAGATATTTACTATAAATAAAAACAGAACTAAATATAAGATTTTTTTTGAGAATTTACATTTTGGAAATTCTAAAAAAATTTACATTTATCAATAACTGCAGTATTGCAATAAAATGAACCTTACTGTAATGTTTAAAATAGTACTATGGAAATAATAATTAACTTAGAGTAATGAAAGAAAGTTACGAATTTTCTACATACATAAATAGTTTTAGTAAACTTAAATTTGAAATTGTAATATTTTTTTTTTGGCATAATGTAGCATGAATATCGAGAAAAAAGGCGATGCCTTACCGGAAAAGAAAGAATTCAGGGGCAAGTCTGTTTAACATTGAATGAATGGCTAGCTCACTACACTGGCGAGATATCGCCGAGCTAGCAATAGTTTTGGCAACTAGTTTTTGTCTCCAAATTTGGCGAGAAATCGCCAGAAATGGCCAACCGTGGTCTGCCTCCTGTATAATTGTAACGAGTATTGCAGTTCAATGACTGTAATTAATGTATAAGTAGCTGTAACCGTATCCGGCCCCATATGCCTATCAGGTTCAATGTTCCGTCTTACTTTCTTTGGGAACATGCACAGACCTGACTCGGAACAGGGAGCTTACTAAAGCTATGTTCAATAACTGTGGGAAGTAGACAAGATACACAGGAAGGGTATACAAAACCCTTTATTTTTCACTCTTTACAATAATTTCCGTACTTCGGAATACAGAGACCAACTACTTGTGGTCTGAACGTAAGAATATAAAAATATAACTAAACTTAAATTTGGAATAATCAACAAGGCCTACGTGTAGATTGGCCGGATATTAACAGGAAGCCGTATGTAGTACAGAGAACTGTTAACACTACAATACGTTTAAAATTATCACGAGGATTAAACCTCTGGCCTGGAAGGCAAACAGCAACCGAGTAAAACTTCTAAGGCAAGCGGCCTGCTTCGACTAACTCCTTCCTCTCTTTCGCTTGGCAAAAAGCCACAACTTAAGTACTTGGCGTTCGCCAGACAAATTTTGCATAAATAAGTTAACGCTTCTAATTCTGGCCGGAAGTAGAAAATAAGAAGTGATAGTAAAGATTTAAAATAAAATAAACGTTAGTAAAACTTAAGATCCTTACATGCCTTTCAGTAGTTTTCTGAAGATATATTATAGAAATATAATTCTAAAGATATATTATAGAACTTTCTAAAAATATATTATAGAACAGTAGAGATATCTCTGCATCCGGGCAGAACAATGTAAAACCGGAGAGAGTATCAAATTATCAGTTGTTAATGCAAAGCGACCACGGAGTATAGAGATATCCGTGAGAGCTTCGTCTTTTAGATGCGTTTTGCATTCCATTGTGTTAAACGTTCTTAGCAGTTTGAAGTGTAAATACTAACTGTATTCCGTGATACTGTGAAGAGTATTTTTGTGGAAAGTTTCAGAACTGCCAAATATGTAAAATAAATTTTATTAAGCTAACATCCGTTCTGTGTGTATTCAGTCTATTACGTACGCACGCAACAATTTTTTGGAGGCACTAAAACCGACGAGATTTGAACTCGTGATCTTCTGTTTACCAGTCAGAATATAATTGATGGTGAAAATTCAATTCACGATCCCGGCATCATAAGTACCGTGCAGTTCCACATTATAAGTACCACGTAGTCCACTTCTGTAGGGGTGGGTTCAAATCCCACTTCTGATACCAAATTTCATTGCTTGCATATGGGCTCGTAATAATATCACACAGAACCAATGATACCTTAATAAAATTTATTTTACCCAAAAAAACGCCTCACCAGTTCTGGAACTTTCCATAAAAATACTCGTACAGCTCTTCACAATATCACGGAGTACAATCAGTAGTTACACTTGAAATTACTAAGAACATTAAACACAATGTAGTGTAAAGCGCATCTAAGAGGCGAATCTCTCAAGAATATCTCAGTATACCAAAGTAATAAGTGAAAGTTAAATAAAAACTACTACTGAACTAATTAAGATATAATAACACGGCGAATAAGTATTAATTTAAAAGTCAAACAACAAAGTTCACACAACAAAGTCAGCACAATCCATTTGCGCTTGCATGATGGTTCGGTAAAACCAGTAGTCCTGTGAAAATTTCAAAATATAACTTTTGACTGACTTTTGTTGTTTGACTTCTAAATTAATACTACTAAGCTGATGCGGTCGTATATAGTTCTCCCATCCACAAGATCTCGCCAAATGATCGCCAAAATTGGCGACTTGTGCCGAGTTCTCGCCAGAGTTGTCGATATAACTGTCCTAGTTGTCGCCAAGTTGTCAAATTACCCAAGTTGTCGCCCAAACCATTGCCAGCTTGGCGACAGTGAGCCACTATAGTGAGATAGCCATTTACACAATGTTAAATGTTAAATGGACTTGCCCCTGTATTTTTACCTTTCCGTCAATACATCCTTCTTTATATTTTCATATTACATCATACCAAAAACAAATTCACACATAATTGCACTAAAACTATTTATACATGTACAAAATTCTGAAAAGAATTAATATCAATGTAAATTTAATCTCACATATCCATGAGCTATTTATCTACAAATTTATGAACACAAATAGTCAAAACTCACATCTATATAAATTCCCGCAAGCTCATACTTTTGTCCAGGTGGTGAGTCGTCAGGTAAGTACCTATAAAACTCGACGTTGTTCTTGTGCCATTTGATGGAATATAATTTTTCATGCTCTAAGTCGTAGGAACAGTTCAGCCAAACGGATTCCCCTCTCATAACCACTGCAGGCACGCTGAAGCCTTTTAACTTTAGAGACTCTATATCTGAAGAAAAATTATTTAATTAGCATTAAATTAACATTGTGATAAGAAGCAAATTTAATAATGTTTAGCGTAACATTTCAAGGAGAATGCCTTTCATTATCATGCATACTCAGTAAGCATGGTGTGACAATTATAAGAAAAAGATATTACTTATTCAATTAATAAACGAGACTTGTAATTTACAACATTTTAAATAGTTTAAGATCATAACAATACAGGCGGGCTCAAAAGGTCGCTGCCAAAGTTAACATGTTGGTCTGTCATACCATGCGAAAAAGATTTGTACAGGTACTTTTAAGTTTGGCAACGACCATCTGAGACATCCTCTATAAGAGGCTAACAATATGCAAAACTGTGAACAAAGGCCTTGGAAATGCATATTAGCATAAACGCACAGCAAAGTCTCTTTCAACAAACCATTCTAGCATAGAAGCATTCTTGACGCAATTTAGTACTTTTAGCTACCTTTCTCTTCAATACATATTTAAATATATTAGTAAATGTTTTAGAAAAACAAAACTGAAATTACATTATTGTTATACAAATATTTGTAAAAATTATAACTAATGAATAAATACATGTTGGTTAGAAAATTACTGCAGCAAACACTTGAACTGAGTACATATCTGAATAATTACTTTTTGAATTTGAATGAAATTTGGCATACATATGGGTCTTGCCATGACAGAGAAGAATAATAATGTGAAATTAAAAGCAGATTATTTTCTTGCATTTCGAAATTTAAGTAAAATATATTCAGAGTATGACGTAAGTGTTCTCTAAGAAAGCGAAAGTTACTATGGAATGTGTTCAGCTGGAACTTTCAATCGGGTTCCAAAAGAAGCTCTTAAACTCTTTGTGAAGGTGTTAACTAGTGGTTATAACAATAAATTCTTCTTCTAGAGAAAAATAGATTTTTAACTCACGGTGGATTGTAGGACTAAGTGCTCTAAGAGTTCTTCAAAATAGAATTATCATATCCTCTATAGACTGAGACTAAAGAATTTTTTAGCTCCTGCATCTTGTGAATACCCATTTCTTCGAGAAATCTCACATTTTTCTAGGGTTTGCCCCAAGTTTAGAGAGGAGAAATCATTCTGTGCCAGGTGTAATCAAGATACCACTGCGAATTACCGGGGTTGTAAGCAGCTTCCTAAATGTAAAAGAAACGCAAGAAAAGTGCTCCGATCACGATTGGTGATAAATTCACATCATACCGTGACCAACACTCAGAGGCGAGGATAAAAAAACTGACAAAGTCATGAAGGGACTGATTCCTTTTCTTACTACAGCTCATTTCATATACGATTGATTCTCATGCGGCGTCACTGATATTTTGCTGCCCAGCACCATATGTAGATCTATTTTTGCTTTTTTTTCTTGCATTTATTTTATTTATTTATTTATTCAATTTGTTTTGTTTTCAGTAAACCCCATGTGATTTCAAGCATGTATATCAACTTTTACCTCTCCATCTACATTATTCCGTGAATTATTGAATTTTCAAAGAACAAGGAATTTGTTTTCAGACGAGATCTGTTTACATCAGTGTTTACTATAGGAATTAAGTGAGAACTATAAAAGCATTTACAAAGCTTACATTTAAGTACTATTGTATAGCTGTGCTGAAACGTAAGCTTCTCAGTTTTGACAATAGGCAGTTAAATAAGCATTTGCGTATTGACACAGGAGAAAAGCCTCATATGTATGCGACGTACAGGTGTTGGACAAAAATTGAAACACCTTTAAAAAAACATGTTTCTTTGCTTAATATGGTGTAGGAAACCCGTTGGCATCCAAAACAGCTTGCAGTCTTCTCGGAATGGATAAATACAGTTCCTGTATGTTTGCCAAGGGAATATTATACCATTCTTCCTGCAAAACGGGGGTAAGTTCAGATAACGATGTTGGCGGTGGATAACGAGAACGCACTTTCCGTTCCAATGTAGACCACAAAGGTTCGATAATATTCAGGTCTGGTGACTGTGGTGGCCAGGGGAGATGAGACAACTCATCATCGTGCTCAGAAAACCAGTCCTGGACAATGTGAGCTGTGTGAACAGGGGCTTTGTCGTCTTGGAAGACACCATCACCATCGGGGAACAAAGTTTGTACCATGGGATGAACTTGATCGGCCAAAATGTTCACATAAGTCTTGGCAGTCATGTGCCCTGACACTGTTATCATGGGGCTAGCAGAGAACCACGATATGGCTGCCCAAACCATAACAGAACCCCCGCCATGTTTCACTCTTGGCAACAAGCAGTCTGTATTATAGGCTTGAGATGGCGTTCTCCAGACGTAAATTCGGCCAGTAGTGGGAAACAATGTGAAAGAAGACTCGTCAGACCATATTACTCGCTTCCACTGCTCTATAGTCCAGGCTTTATGACTTAAACACCACCTTTTCCTGTTACGGGCATTAGCATCACTGATGAGTGGTTTCTCAATTGCAGCACGGCCAGCAATTCCCTGTTTATGAAGCTCCCTTCTAATTGTTTTGGTACTCACAGGGTTCGGTAACACAACATTCATTTCAGCAGTAACTTTTGCAGATGTGGTCTTCTTATTTTTCGTCACAATTGCCCTTAATGATCGTTTGTCACGATCACTCAGGACACACTTTCGTCCGCGCTGTGATTTAGCAGATGATGTTTTTCCGCTTTTCAAATATGCGGAATAAATCTTCGATACAGTACCTCTTGAAACACTAAACACCTCGGCTACCTTGCTTACGGAAGCACCTACCATACGTGCTCCAACAATTTTCCCACGTTCGAAGTCTGTTAACTCTGACATAATGCAATGACAACCTCACATAACAGTACTCCGACAACAACTGAACTGTTTAGCACATTTACGAAGTTGTATATGTGGCGTCAGTAGTCAAAAACGCTAGCGCCACCTACATATTTGATTAAAATCAATTTTTCTTTTCAAACATGCATTTCACAAGGTGTTTCCATATTTTTGTCCATCCACTGTATGTAACAAGTCATATAGGCAGAAGCATAAATTAAACAAGCATATGCTTATTCACTCAGGAGATAAACCTCGTTTGTGTGAGCTGTGCAATAAATCATTTACACAAAAAGATAAATTAAAGATGCATATGCTTATTCTTATGGGTGTCAAACTTTGGGTTTGTGAGGTATGTAACAAGTCATTTAGTTTAAAGGACGTAAGCTTAATCACAGAGAAATGTCTCATGAGTGTGAAGTATATAACAAGTCATTTACACGAAAGGATAATTTAAACAGACGCATTGTTCACCACAGAAAACAGAGGCATTGTATGTGAGATACGTTAAAAACCATTTATTTAAAAATCGTTCTCGAAAGCAATAGAATTTTACGTAAAATGTTTGTCAAACTAAGGTTGCAGTTTTGTTTGATTGTAAAAGTTACACTGATTTAGCTTAAACTTTACGGTGTGCCTCTTTAGTTGAAGCTGATTATAATCATAGTGATAACTGCCCAATATTTAGGAAATAACTCGTAGTGAAGCAGTGTTAGATGACGAAATGCAGAAGTTAGTTAAAAGTGTTGTTAGGTGTGTATTTAATTATGGAAAAGCACACTAGGGCTATCTGCCTAAGGGGAGGGATGCCTTCGTGGAGGACTTTCTAAGGGAAACTTGCTCGTATACACGTTACACATGGGGAAAACCACGAAAATACCCATGCAGCCAGCCCGCTCGCGGGATTCGAACATCAGACCGAACTACCAGTGTTCAGCGACTTTACCGCTCGGCCGCTGGTGGGCGTTAGGTTGTTAGGAATAGTTTAAGTAATAGAGTTACCTTCCTATGAAAGGAATATCTTAATCTACTTTTACATTCTTTTAAATTAAACTTTATTAAATTTAATCTCAATTAAATACGTTGTTTCTTGGAGAATTGGAAGTTATTTTATTTACGTATGCATTTATTTAACAATTTAACACACATTAGGTACTTAAAACAAGTTTGAATGAATTTGAAACTAAATTTAAAAAAAAAAAATCTGAAATGTTTCAGATTTTAAATCACGTCCAAAGGGGCGTTTTTTAACATTTTGTGTGTTACCTTTCTTTATTAAATATCATGTTCCTCGCACTTAAACCATAAGATCCAGTGCAACAGCAATATCGCAAAATAGTTTTAAAACGAGCATATCTTTAGAATTTCCGATACAGAGACTCACGCGCTGGAGATAAAAATGTTTTTTCTGCACAACGTTGCCATTGCTCGCTTTGAAATCCTTGAGTTTTTGTTAATCAAAAAATTCGTCAAAGTTTTAAAAAATAGGAAATCGATCATAAAACAAATTTCAAATTGGTCTTCCACATGCTCATATTCGTTGGAGGATTACGTTATTCAAAATTCGATGACTCTATGTACCGTTGTTTTATCACAATACGAGAAATATACATACATTTATGCAGATTTTTCATTATTTAATTTCTTCAAATATAATGCAGGACTCTAACATTTTGTGGCAACAGTTTGAAAAGTGAACCGACATTTATGAGTCCGACGCAAAATGCCAAAACGAAACTAATAGTCCTTCGGGATTCAAATCCCTTTGGACTAAAAATGAATTTATTTATTAAATATAATTCACAAACACTTTTTGTTTCCAGTCATATACCTCATCCTACTACAGAAAAATCGAACTTTATTTACTTTCGATTAATCTGCGTTATAGTATCAAAATAAAATAACTTTTAATTTCACTTTCGTACCCCTGAACCAAATTTAAATTATATATTACACATTATTTGTTTTAAAATAATAAATAAAATTGCCTAGAAGGATTCACGTTCCTCCTTTCATTGCTTTTAAGAGCCTTTTATTATATAATACATATTTTCTGAAACTATTAACTTCTAAATCTCTTATGACGTATTTCTCCCACTTTCCTAGCGTGCCTTCGTGGTGTAACGGTAGCACGTTGGCCAGGTATTCCAGAGGTCCGTGGTTCGATTCCCGGCGAAGGCAGTTGCATATTTTTCATCTTT